TTGATGTTTCTTTTTCCCTTTCCCTTCCTCTCTCTGAAATTAATAAAAATATATATTTAAAAGAAAGAGCGAGCTCTGGACATTCTCAATGCTTTGAATATACATTTTCTTTGTTTTGGCCCCTTGCATCTGACAGTCCATTGAGGAAGCTTTTCAAAGAAGAAAGAAAAACTTTGGTGCTCAATGCTACCAGCTCTTCCTTAGGACCCCAGCTATTCTATTATATTAGGACCCAAATAGTTCTCCAAAGGGAAACTTACACTAGAAAAAAATGGAAGGCACTACCTGAGGAACTGGGTTCAAAAACCTGACTGAGGACTTTCGGAGATTTGAGACAATGCAAGTAACAGCAAATTAAATATGTAGGTGAAAGGATGTTAAGGAGATGGGTTCCGCAATGATACAACCATCCTAATGCAGGTGAACACTCCTGCAGGGCATAATGGCACCTGGGCACCAGGCCATTTGGGGAAGTGAAAAAACCAAGATTGGAGAGAACACTCCTGGCTGTAGAACAGCAGCCCTATCAGGGGCCATTCTTAGTTACCTGACAGTGGGGACCTGCCTCAGTGAAAGTGGTGTTGGTTTGGCAGAATCTGTCAGCACCTGGGAAAAGATCTGGAGAAGGCAGTGTAGACTGTGAAGCCCGCAGCAATGAAAGTGTAGAAAGACTGATAGTAGCTCTGCCAGAGATCTGAAAACCAGGATGTTTTGTGAATTTAAGTTGTAGAAAGACAGATGAGTGAGGGAAAGAAATGGAAGACAGGAGCTGAAAGGAGGATGGCAGTTGGAGGGCATGCAGGACCCTGGAGTGAAGAGAAGGCTACGGTCTCCGTCTGCCCCTAGCTGTTCCTGCCCTCCCAGCACTGCCTACTGAGATCAGTGAGCAAATCACGTAAGATCTTTGGTTGTTTAAGAAAGTGTGGCTTAGAAAAATAATGGAGTTGACATTCTGAATAAATACATTATGCAGCTGAAACCACTTGATCTTTGCATCAGAGGAGAAAACCCTTAGGGAAAGAAATGGACAGGATTATTTTTAAAATAAAAAGTTAGTTGGCAGATTACCATAGTAAGGAGATGAAAAGTCAGGGAAATCAGATGGTAGCGAAATCCACATTGCCAGGAGTTGAAGACAGACATCATTAACATTACAAGCTACATAATGAGGTGTCAGCAAGACGTCAGCTGTGGGGAAAAGTTGGAAGATGATGCTTTTTTTTACTTGCAGCCAAAGCTCTGGTTGAAAATAAATGCCATATCTTGCAGCTGACAGTAGAGATCTTTAATGATCCCCATCAGAAAACTAAGACTGTTCAAGGGCCTGACTCAGAAAGCTTACAAGACAGAAGAGAAAGAACAGAAGCTGTTGGCTGCAGAAGAGGGTGTTCATGGAGAATTTAAGATATGGAGGGTGAATTATAGTGAAAATAGATTATGTAAAACTCAGCTAGAAAAACAAACAAAAAACCCCAGGACACCAGGCTTTTTTTCTTTTTGATGCATCAAGATTTCTTCCTGTAGAAAAGAGAGACGCTGCTTTCCTGAGACAGAAATTGCATAAGACAGAAATTGCAGGTAACAAGCTCAAAGACTGTTGTACTTCAGAGACTTCAGAAATAAACCCAAATCCAGCAAGATCTACTAAATAGCTCCCATCAATAAGAGGTTCTGGAACCCAGATGGGCTCCCATGAGATATTCTGCTGAGTACAGGGCACTGTACTCCCCACAGTACCATTCACCTTTCTTTACTATGGAAGATGAATGCCTAGAAGTGAATTAGTTGTGAGTGGGCTTGTACCTGGGTACAGGTATATATGTGGTGTCAGGAAAAACCTTACTCTCTAATCTGCATGCAAACATGAAGAATGTCTAGTGGGTCCCACACCCTCTGATGACACACTACCCAACCCTCCTTGATGGTGGACACAAGAGTGATATCTCCATTTCATCATTAATCAAATAGATTTGCCTGGATGTTTGCATAGGACTGTTCATGGATCACCGCCTGGGCCAAGGGACTTTTTCAGTATTTGATGAAAATATCTACCTCTAGCCCTAGCTGGTTTGGCTCAGTGGATAGAGCATCGGCCTGAGGCAAGGGTACTCAAACTACGGCCCGCGGGCCACATGCGGCCTACGGAAAACATTTATCCGGCCCACCAGGTGTTTTGGCCGCCGCTGTGTGCATAGGAATTTGTTCATAGTTTTTTTTTTTAAAACTATAGTCCGGCCCTCCAACGGTCTGAGGGACAGTGAACTGGCCCCCTGTTTAAAAAGTTTGAGGACCCCTGGACTAAAGGATCCCAGGTTCAATCCCGGTGGCTTCATTAATGAAGAATGGCCGCTTTCTACAGCAAGGGCTGGTTTGGCTAATGCTGATGAAAGTAACTGCCTATCTTTATCAGGAGCACCTGTCATTAACTCAGCACAGAAAAGACTCCCACCGCTACCAGCCACCTTCTCAAACGTGGACCCAGACACTCTTTCTCACACTTTCTTCCTGGTGGGCTTACATTCTGTCTAAAGGAGCCTTTAGAAACTTAAAGCCTTTCTCCATAAGAGACTACCTCCTTTCTGGAACCCAATTAGTTGAGATTATCTATCTTTCTCTCTCTCTCTCTACAAAATACTTCCAGCCTATGGGGTCTAGAGAGAAGGCCATTAGCTTCTCCAGGTGCCAAACCTGGGCCCCACAGGCTTCCAGCCTTAGGTTATAAAGAAACTATTGGGAGAATTTATGTGCTTCAAAACCCAATGTGAATGTTACTTTGGTAATTAAATTTAACACTTTAGAGCTTAGTTTTATTATTAAGAGATCTTTTATGAGCCAAATTATTCAAATCTGCTAGATGTTTTATTTGCTATGAAGGCTACCACTTAAACTCTAGTCTCTCATTTTCTCCACTCTCCTCAAACCCATTTTATGCATTATTAATGTAGTTTATATAGTTAATGTAGTATATGCAACAGAAATGTTGAGTGTCATGTTGAGTGTAATACTTTTACATAAAATTTTTTAAAGTATAATTATCAAGAATGTTTGTTAATCTATGCTCTTTTGCTCAGCTACACTTTGGATAAACCTAGTCAGTTAATCAAAGGTCAAAACAATCAACTTTGTGTTGGCGAATTGTTTCATAAGTGGAAATAAGTAACCCAAACCTATGATGTAATTCCAAACAGTATACTCTTCAATTCACTAAATCATTCAGAGAATCACTAACATAACTATTCTATCAATATTTGCTTTCAGTCATGAAAGTGGAGATTGTCAGATTCTTTTATTCCAGTGGAACCATTTAACTATATAAAACTAGAAATCAACACAGATCCTAAAATCTGCCTTAGATGATGTGGAGGTGTGGCCAGGAACCTGCTGACTTCACCTCCCTCTTATCTCATAAGGTGGCATCTCCAAGTATTCCAGGGCTCCACCAGCTCAGATTGGAAACTTCTAGGTCACAGCATTATGGCAGCAAGGTCAAGGTCACATTTCAATGGCCATGGGGGCCATGACCTACCTCTCCCATTTACAAATGCAAAACACTGTGTGTTATAAGATGGATGCATAGCTTATGCTCAATAAAGAAGAAGCACAATCTTTACCCAACATTCCTCTGAGTATGTACCGGCCATACAAATAAGAAGAGCAAGTGTGAAAAATCTCTCCAAATCACAACTGTACACCCTACTGTCCAGTCGACAGAATCATCTTTGTCCATTAAGAACACTTCATTAGCCCTAGCTGGTTTGGCTCAGTGGATAAAGTGTCAACCTGCGGACCAAAGGGTCCCAGGTTTGATTCCAGTCAAGGGCACATGCCCGGCTCAATCCCCAGTGTGGGGCATGTAGGAGGCAGCCAATCAATGATTCTTTCTCATCATTGATGTTTCTATCTCTCTCTCCCTCTTCCTTCCTCTCTGAAATAAAAAATATCTTTAAACAAAAGAACACTTTATTATATTTCAACAGAGGTAATAAGTACCCTTTAATGGTGCTATTAATGGGCCTGACACATGTGCTATGGAGTCAGGCAAGAAGCCCTCCTAGGACCCTTCCAGGGTGAGTTTCCACATTCCTCTGATGTTAGAACAGCAGCCCAGATGACATTCAGCAAACTACTGTCTCACAGAACAGCCCCATCTGGCTGTGAGCTGTCAGAAATGTTATAGCTTCCAAGAGTGAAGGCTTCCTCATCATTCTTTATTCCTTAAGATTAGCCTCTCTCTTGCTCCAACTCTTCTGAGACCATATGGGTCTCAAGTTAGATTGGGGATTTACATCTAAATATGAAGTTGTAGGCAAGGACTTAGTGGCCAAATATCGCCTTGAATTGTAAATTAATTAACTCATTAATTAAGTTCACCAGGGGAAGGTTTTTTTAAGAAGATTTGATGACCTCAGATAAAGTGGTTTCTTCTCCACCACTCTTATCTCTGACCCCAATACCAGCACCCTCATTGTGGACAGGACTCTTCACCTCCAACTTCAAGAGAAAATCAAAGCCAAAGGTGGGAAATGACCCAAGCTCCTGCCACTGGCCCTGCATACCCATCAGACTCTACTCTCCTTTTCTTCTTCAATTTTTTCCTAACAAAAAGGTACCTCTGAATCCATGCCTCCCCCCTCATCTGTTATCTGGATTCCACCTCCCACATCCTCAGTTCTTGACTCTATCAATTAAGCTCCTCCCCCTTCATGCACCCTCTCTGCTGCCTTCTTCCCAGGGGCATTCCTCATGCTCAGGTGTCTCCTGAGTTCATGGAAAATTCCTGCTCTTGCCCTATCCTCTGCTTCCCTTTATGGTCAAGCTTAGTTGAGGGAGTTACATCAATCTTCATGAATTCCTGTTCCTCACCTTCCATCTGCTCCATACAGAGGGTGCCCTACAAAGTCACCAAAAATTCCTTATTACTAAAGACAACAGACATCTTTGATTCCTCAAGTCTCTAAATTTTTAAAAAATTGTTCCTATAAAAAACAAACAAACATCCATTCAATCAACAAGTATTTATTGCTTTTACTAGTGCTGGGGACTGAGGGTGTAGCAGTAAATGGGTACTGGCAGTCCTGGGGTCCTCATTAGGAAGGAAAGGGAGCCACACAATAAACAAGTGAAAAAATGAACAAGATCATTCCACAGGGTGATAAGCGCCGTGAAGACAGACAAACTAGAGTGACGGGCTAGAAAGTAACCATGGAAACCACTCTGAGCTGAAGGCACCAGTGCAAAGATGTTAGGCCAGAGCATCACAGGCAGAATGAACAATAACAGAGCCCCGAGATGGGGACAAGCACTGAGGAGATATGACAGCATCTTATTTACAAGTACAAAAGGAGAGACAGGAAGAAGGCAAGAAAGTGTGGTCTTCCTCAGTAGAGAAAGGGCATCTGAGTCCCAGGCAGAGTGCGCCAAGCCTGGATGAACCATAAGCCTTTTACCCTTATGGTCTGGAGCCTGGCTCCACATCACCTCCAGACCTAAGAAGAAAAGTGTTAGGAGGTGGGGAGGGTGGAGGAAGTATCTACTGCTTGCATCTTTCACCCTTCAATCCCAGCATATAAATCAGCCAAGCTTGGCCTTCAAATAAGCTGGGGTGGCTTCTGGAATGGACCCTGCTGGAGCCTAAAGAGAGATGGATCCACTCCAACCCTCTCCTTCCACCTTCCAACTCTGATGTAAGGAAAATGGCCAAGAGGGGCTCCTATAAGGCTAGTGTGTGGCATGCAAAGGAACCCTAAGTCAAAGACAGGCCCAGAAGGGAGTATGTCAGAGTTTGTTTTTTCTGATGATCAGCTTAAGAGGTCAGGGTCCTCAGGGGACATGGATCCAATGTGGACTTGGAGGGACTTTCCAGTATTTGTGCGTGGGAGAGAAAAATGAGAGCCCAAAGATGTTCTCCCAAAGCCAAGTTCCCTAACCTCACACACACACACACACACACACACACACACACACACACAGACACACACACCAATCTACAAGGTGACCCAAGAGTCCTTCATTTAACCTGTGGACACACTCCCTCCCTATAGCATGTGTATGTGTGTAGGGGGTGTGGTGGAACTAGGGTAGATGGGGGCGGGGAAGAGTTAATTCCTATGGTGGTGATAGAGAGCCCATACTGACACCAAAGTCCTTCCCAAGAGTCTAGGGCTACAGGTAGTGGGAGTAAAACAGAGAGAAGAGATGGGCATTCAACCACAATCCTGCATCATTATGATTGGGACAAGTCTCTCCCCCCCCCCCCCCCACACACACACCCTGCATGGCCTCTTACACAGGAAGAGAAGTCTTGGGCTGCTTAACCTCCCCTAACTCACCCCTCCACCCACTTAATTCTCCTCTCCCCAAAGCCAAGCTTTTTTCTCCTGATCCCACTACAGTATCAGAGAGAAATGTGAAGGGGTCCAGCTAGGAACTGGGCATTATTGCTATAGCAACTCTCTGAGCACACCTTCTGGTCTCGTGAAAGTGCCCAGGGGCCATCTGCCCACTCAGGGAAGTGAGGAGGTGGGAAAACAGTATTTCCTGCTTTACAAGGAGGGTCCATCTTAGCAGCCCGGTTTCCAGGACTCCCCAGAAGGGGGGATGGGAGGCCAATAACCTGCTCAAAGTGGCACAATTTGCAAAGCAATGAATTCTGGAGTTGAGACCATCCAGATGGGCTGACAAGCTCAAAAGCGGTGCCTTAGAGTATTTTTTCTCACTCGGGCCGGGATCAGGAGGAGACATTCACAAATTCCTCCGTGAGGCTGGAGACAGGGGCTTGAGGAGTGGCAGGGGCTGCTTTCTCGGGCCTTTTCTCTTAGCTTCTGACACAGTACATTGGCTCCATGTGGATGTAGACCCCTCTGACCATCCCTGGGAATATCTGTGCATCTCTAGATTATTTGAGAGCCTATTATCTTACTCTGAGAAGAATGTGGATCTTCCCCAGAGCAAACTGTGCCTCTGACTGTGGACTAGTATAGGGAACTCACTACAAAGAAGAAGATCAAGGATCTAAACAGGATCAAGGATCTGCAACAGGATGCCAGGGACAGAAAGGAATAGTGGTTAGAGGTTAACACGTGGGCTGGCACTTCAACCATCCTGATCCGAAGACCCTGGGGGCCTGGCACATCCGGGGGAGAAAGGACTGCAGGTGAGACCAATAGGGCCATGCCCTGAGTTCTGGAGCCCGTGGGGTGCTGGGACCCACCGACTGGAGCATAACACAGAGATGCCCCTCTCACCTCCAGGCAGGCTGCCCGTTGGCCCTCCTGCCATGGAGACCTTGGGCATCAGCAGGTGTCTGCCTCTGCATCATATTCGGAACCGGCGAGCTTGCCCAAGGGCATGTGGGTCAGGCAGCAGTGTGTCCAGGAGCTGAGGCCATCCATTCACTTGAAACTCCTCTTTGGTTACTTCTTCCTTGGGGTTGGCTTGCTCCTCCTTCTCAATCTGGTTTACAAAGAGAGACATAAAAATCCATGACCCTGGTAAGTGCTCAGTTCATGTGACTCTGAATTTGTAGACTACCTTTGAGGTGATCTGTCTTCTGGAAAATCGTTAGAGTCCCTCTGTTTAATTTCTCAATTCTGGTAGTACCTGGCTAAAATAATATTTTTTCCTAGCCTGATCCTAGATAAGATACTTTTTAAAGGTCTTTCTATTTTTATGTGCAACAACTATTGCTTTTCTATTTAATCACTGCAGATAAATTTTAAACACAGAAAAACATAAAGGAAATCAAAGTACCACCCCACTCCTATGGGGGGAAAAAAAAACAGTCACACTGCCCAGGAATGTAAAGACATGAGTGTACACAAATATACACATAGGGCATATGCACTCACATGATAAAATTGTGACTATATTGACATGTTCCCATTTTAATGGGGACCAGACTGTGTTCAAGAAAATAAACAACACCCAGGAAAGATATGAAAATGTGGCCCCAGACAAGCACTGTTTGTAAGCTTATTCTCCATAGCATATTAACTGCAATTCATTTAGACAGCAGAGCTTTTTGTGACCACCTATGAAATGAGACTGTCAGTTTCAGATCATCATAACGTTTTTCATTTAAAAAAGAAAAAAAATAGCAAAGATGCATATATCAGAGTGTGCCATACTTTTACACTATGGGCTGAACTTATGGGAATCACAGCTTTTCCTATAATGTTATTTTAGACCTAAAATTCGCATTAACAATAGCATTTTCCAAAACCCCAAATTATACATCAAGCTAACAACGCTGGTGCCCTTCAGACAGGATTAAGGATTAATGAAGAAATAATTGTTGAAATTTGCAGAGTGAAGTTTAGTAGCCTGGGAGGTTGGAACACATCCCTTGAAATCTGGGGAGGGAATCTTTGTATTTTCCTGATTGCCTCTATGACCTCCGACAGGAAACAGCCTTTTCATATTAGAGCTCCACACAGGTCCTGCCGAACAGAAAACCCTGGATGAGCACAGTAGCATAGCAGCCCACAGATCCCAGGCATCACCGTGCAGGTACCACTGCAATCAGCCACTGTGGCATCTTAGGAAATATAAGCACCTAGTTACGTAATTGGCACTTTACTGGCAATGGCAGCCCATCGATGGCACTGGGGATGGCCAAATTGTGCAGCAACAGCCCCTGGATTCGATTTCAACAAGTGGGAGCAACTGAGTTGAGGAGAATGGGCTAATAGTTAGGTTTAAATGGCACAACGTATCCATTAAGTAGCAGTGCTAATACCATCCACCTATCTAGTCTATAAGATCCTACACTAAGTACTTTACAATGATAAATAGTGAGGTAGATAACATCCTCGTTTTACAGATGGGAAAAAATGCGGTTTTGAGAGAATAAGTAACTTGGACCGGCAGCAGAGCTCAGATGCAAGCCTGATGCCAGTGTCCTTGCCCTCCCCACTGCGCCAGACCAGGTGTATTTATAGGTCTCGTTCAGCCAATAACATCAGCTAAGCCCCGAGTCAGGCCCTGGAGACAGGAGTGAAAGTCCCTGCTCCTGACTCGTGTACACTCCAGCAAGGGAGATAGACTATATGGTGTCCGATATGTAGAAGTGGAGACACCAACTGAGCCTAGGGAGGGGGTGGGCATCTGCTAAGCAAGAAATATGAAGGCTGTGCCAATGCTCCTAACCACTGACAATCATGATGATTCTGCAGACACAGGAGAGAGGTTCTCTACTTACATGAAATAGTTTACGCATCATTCACATTGACCAACTCAAAATAGGCCCCAAATTCTAGTAGTGATTAGAACTTCTTTGTGTTTTAAATCCAAACAACATTCATGCCTATTCACTGGTTTAATGATAGAGCATGTCAATCAATGAACCATGAGGAAAGATTAACCATATCTTGAAATGAGAATATGAAGAAAGTACAGGTATAAACCTACAACCCAATCCAAGTACCTTATCTGGTTGGGCTCAAGCTTTTTGGACTCTAATCCCTTTTAGTGATCCAGAAAGCCAAATTGTCAAGGACCTAATCTTGTTAAAATAATTCTCTAAGAAACAAATATCCTAAGATAAATAGCTTAGGTTTGCATATGGTTAAGCATACAGATTAAAAATAAAAAAATAAAATTATCTCTATTCATAGACAACAATATTGTCAATGTAGAAAATCCCAGTCTATCCCCCAGAAAAGGGTAGAATAAGTGAGTTTAGCAAGATCACAGGATACGTGATCAATATACAAAAACCAATTGTTTTTATATACTACTAATGAACAATTTCAATAGCACTTTTATAAACTATTTAGGTATAAAACAAAGTATGTGCAAGATCTGTAAAAAAAGCCTAAATAAATAGAGGGATATACCATGTTAATAGATTCAACAGTGTTACTACTTCTTCCCAAACTGATTTATAAACTCAACACAATCTCATTCTAAATTCTACCAAGATATATTGTAGAAACTGACACACTGACACTAAAATATATATGGAAAAATAGAGAAACTTGAATAGCCAAAAACAATTTCAAAAATGAAGAACAATGTTAGGTAATTCACACTAATTGATTTTAATACTTCCTTTAAGGCTACAGTAATTAAGTGTGGTGATGTTGAAAGGAAAGATATATAAGTTAACAGAACAAAATACAAAGTCCAGAAATAAATTCACATGTTATGGCCAACAAATTTTCAACAAAATTGCAAAATAATTCAATGGAGAATCTTTTCAATAAATGGTGCTGAAACAATTGAAAATGAATATGAAAAAAAATTGAACCTTAATTCATGCCTCACACCATAAAATTAACTCAAAATGGATAATAATATAAACGTAAAACCTACATTTTTAAATTTCTAGAAAAAAATCTTTGTGACCTTAGATTAGGCAAAGAATTCTTACATATAATACAAAAAGCATAACTCATAAAAAATGATAATTTGGACTTTGTAAAATTTGAAACTGGTTCAACACAAAACACTGTTAGGAAAATGAGAAAGCAAGCCACAGGCTGGGAAACGATATTTGCAAAACATATATTTGTATCTAGATAAATTTTATAATCTCTCAAAATACAATAATAAGAAAATAAAAACCCACTTTTTTAAATGGGCAGAAGATTGAACACACACTTCACCAATAAATGGTGGATGAAATACATGCTCATTAAAGGATTCTCAACATCATTAGTCATTAGGAAAATGCAAAATTACACAACTATTAGAATGGATAAACTTTTAAACACTATCATACCAAGTGCTGACAAGAATGCAGAGCATTGCATGTTGCTGGTCAGAGTACAAAATGATACAGCCACTTTGGAAAACAATTTAGCATTTTCTTATACATTTAAATATACAACTGCCATATGTCCCAGTCATACCAGTCCTAGTTATTTACTCAAGAGGAAAGAAAACTTATGCTCACATGAATGTTTATAGCAGCTTTATTTATAATCACCCACAACTGGAAAAACCCTAAATCTCCTTCAACTGGTGAATGGAAAAGTATGATAGGTACATCCATACAAAGGACTACTATTCAGCAATGCAAATGAAAGAACTATTTATTCATGCAACAATGTGGTTCAATCTCAAATGCATTATGTTAAGTGAAAGAAGCCAGACTCAAAAGGCTCCATGCTGTATGATTCCATTTATACAATATTCTGGTTGAGACAAAACTGTAGACAGAAAAAAGATGAGTGGTTTTCAGAAACTTGGGGTTAATTGCAAAGAAGTATGAGAATTTTATAGGTGATGAAGATATTCTATAACTTGATTGTGGTGGTGGTTGTGTGCATAGAGCTATTTTCTGAAAAGGTTGTGTATCTTAATAAACTTGACATGTGGGGTGTGTGTGTGTGCATGCGCGCGCGCGCGTGTGTGTGTGTGTGTGTGTGTGTGTAGGGGTGTGTATTACACATACATGCACATGCAAGACCCTGGAGGAGACAGAAGGAAGGAAGATCACAGGTGTGGCTGACCTGATCAGAAAAGCGTGCTTTGTCCTCTGAGGCTGAGGGGAAGCATTTAAAAACAGGTGTAAATCCTGATAAACGTGTGAGGGCTGGTGGGGCAGGCTGGCCTGGAGAGGGACTCAGACTCACCCATTTGTGGGGCTATAAGGCTTTTCCTAGCATGCTCAGCAGCCACGGGCTCAGCAGTTGGGAAACTGCAGTAGTGCAGGTGAGTCATCAGTTTGATGTAAGATCAGGGATTTGTGAGATGAAGGTAACAAGATACAGGACAATAGGATTAAGGCTATTGGAGGGAGGCTGGTTAACCATGTGGTCTAGGTTAAGGACATGTGACCAGGGAGGAGCTGTCAGACTGGGGGGACACACAGCTGCCTAACCCAGGCCTCTGCATAGGAACTACCTATGATGTGCAAAGATGCTCTAGGGACCATCATGATGTGCAAAGGCCTGCTTCTGAATGGGAGGGAATTTATGATTTATGGAGAGCAGCATTCAGGAGTTCAGTCACCCAAACTCACAAAAGCAATAACGTAACCTGAGAGGCAGGCAGGGCAAGAGCCTGATCTGACAACAGAAGCTCAGGTCTCTTTCCTAACTCTGCTGTTCCCTGGGAAATGACTGGTGAACTTCTGATTTTGTTTGGCTGATATGACCAAAGATAGATTACCAAGGCATAAACACCAGGTGAAATTAAGCATACTATATGCTTGGATGCAATTTTTCCACAAACATGTAAGACAGAAGTTCTAAGACATGACTACAACGCCAATGTTATTGTCTGGGGAAATAGAGGGAGGGCTCAGAAAAGGGACTGGGAGGGCCAGTTTACCCAATCCTGCACGAAAGGAAGAATGCTCCATGGTTTTCTAGAAGGAGAAAATTCAGAGTGAACATCTTGGCATCAGGAAGGACAAAGGAAGACAAGTCATGTCATAGAAAATGTCTGCGATGTTTGGGTCCACATGACTGAAGAGCAGGCAAGCTACCTCCCGCTAACAGTCTGGACCTTAGCAGCTGTCCCCAACACCTGGTTCTAACAATGCACACTATCCAACCCCTTATAGTAATTGCTCATGGAAGTAAGACCTAGCTTGTCAATTATAGGTGTTTATATTGCACTGAAATTCATGCACTGTGGGGGTTGGGGAGGTCCCTCAGCCCGGCCTGCACCCTCTTGCAGTCCGGGAGCCCTTGGGGGATGTCCGACTGCCAGCTTAGCACTGCTGCAGAGGCAGGAGAGACTCCCGCCACCACCTCTGCACTCGCCAGCCTGGCTTCTGGCTGAGCCTATGGTAGTGCACTGACCACCAGGGGGCAGCTCCTGCATTGAGTGTCTGCCCCCTGGTGGTCAGTGTGTGGCATAGTGACTTGTCGTGACCATCTGAGCATCTGGACCAGGGACATGCATCATTTCCCTTGATTGCCAGAGCCTGGTTCAGTGCTGTACACAATGTCATGGAAAATCAGCTTGAAAATACATATGGAAATAAATTGGTCCTCCAGGCTTCCTGTGTGCAAGGTGCAATTTGGTACAAGATACGCTGTGAACAAATGTGTCACAGGCACACACAGCACTGCCCGGTGACTGGCCCCAGATCAGTCACTCACAGCCACAACGGTTTTCAGAAAACCACAGATCCCGCTCTCAGAAGTGGAGCCCTGAAGAGCTAAAAGCAGCTCAACCCAGGAAACTCCTTAATGCTTTCACTTTTAGAACCATAATGTGTCACGTTCCACACCACAGTAATGTGGATCGTTGATTTATGGGAGATGTAGGTCAGTTTCTCAGGTGAGAATCTGTGACATGCTCCCCAGTTGACTCTTCTGCATATTAACTCTGTAAATACCATGTGACATGCACACAGGGTACTATGCTATGAGGTGCTGGGCTTCAGAGTAGACATGAGACTCTCCAATACAATGAACACCCACTAATAACTTATAATATAGGCTCATTTCCAAATATTAAAAGGACTAAAAGTTGGGCTGCCATGTGTATGGGCAGGGAGTATATGGGAAATCTCTGTAGCTTTTGCCCAATTTTGCTGTGAACCTAAAATTGCTTTAAAAAATAAAGATTAGCCGAAACCAGTTTGGCTCAGTGGATAGAGCGTCGGCCTGCGGACTGAAGGGTCCCAGGTTCGATTCCGGTCAAGGGCATATACCTCGGTTGCGGGCACATCCCCGGTAGGAGATGTGCAGAAGGCAGCTGATCGATGTTTCTCTCTCATCGATGTTTCTAACTCTCTATCTCTCTCCCTTCCTCTCTGTAAAAAAATCAATAAAATATATTTTTTTAAAAAGATTAGCCCTGGCCGGTTTGGCTCAGTGGATAGAGCATCGGCCTGCGGACTCAAGGGTCCTGGGTTCGATTCCGGTCAGGGGCATGTACCTTGGTTGTGGTATATCCCCAGTGGGGAGTGTGCAGGAGGCAGCTGATCAATGTTTCTAGCTCTCTATCCCTCTCCCTTCCTCTCTGTAAAAAAAATCAATAAAACATATTTAAAAAAATAAAATAAAATAAAGATTAAAAAAAAAAAGTTGACCTGCCTAAGATGATGCAGATGAAATGTGCCTCTCTGCATCTTTTCTCTCTACATGGATCCCCCGCCTTTTACCCTCTACTCATTCCAGCCTGACCACCTCTGTGCAACGTCAGTGAAGCAGGGCCCTGCTCCAGACTCCTATAGCCCAATGTACACTGACTGTGACAATATTAGGACATTTCTACCACCCTACACTGTGACCAGCTATTCTCTTGTTTGGCCCTAGTGAATCACACACACACACACACACACACATAACTGGCTGTTCATTGCCATGCCTCTTCCTATAGCATGGTGCCCGGCACTCTGTAGGTATGGAACCAAATTTGTTAGATGACTGACTGAGTGAGTGAATGAATGAATGAGATTATCCCTAGCTGTTTTGGCTCAGTGGATAGAGTATCAGCCTGCGGACTGAAGGGTACCGGGTTCGATTCCAGTCAAGGGCACATGCTTGGGATGCAGGCTCGATCCTCAGTAGGGGGGCGTGCAGGAGGCAACCGATCAGTAATTCTCTCATCACTGATGTTTCTCTCTTTCTCTCTCTCTCTCTTCCTCTCTAAATTAAATTATATCTATATATAAATGAATGAGATTAACATTAGATGAAGTGTGCTGGGAGGAAGGATAGACAAAATGGCTGAACCTCTGCTTTACACACACCCAGATATTCCTTAGAGAGACCATTTCTCCTTCTCCGAGGCACAGGAATCCAGACTCTCATCTACTCAATCTGTTACTGTGGTCAGTACTCGGAACCGATAAATTGATCACTTCCAGTTCCAGTAGACCAAGGAAACCATGGAAACTGCCATCTGAAGTATCGTGTCGATGGCAGGCATAAGGAAAGCAGAAGCCACACTAGGTCTTTCAAACAGAGGGGATTTCATGCAGGGAATTGACGGCAGAGGTTTGGAAAGGCTGAAGGAGGGCCCTTGAGATACCCAGGTATTAGTAAACACAGGAAGCAGCTACTAACCTTAGGGCTAGGGGAACACAAGGGAAGAGATGGTGTTACCAGAACCTAGAAGCTTTGATGGGGGACCCCCCACGGCTGGTGCCTGGCCCTCTGATGGGGCTGCTGCGTGGCGGCTGCTTGGACTTCTGAGGGGGACGCTGCTTGGCTGGTGGTGGTCGGACCTCTGGACGGGGTCGTGGCTGACGCTCAGACCTTGGAGGGGACCGTGGCTCAGACCTCGGAGGGGACCGTGGCTTGGCTGGTGCTCTGACCACCGCGGGGGGTGCAGCTGGCTGAATCTTGGGCCTCTGGGGGGACGTTGCACGGCGCCTGGTTCTGAGAGGGCCAAAAGAAGCTGGAGGCTGGAGCCATGGCTCTCCTCTGCTGCTTAAGGGATGCTGACAGGAGCTGGAAACAGGGAGGCAGGCCCTGCTCCCCCTCCCACCTTCCAGTCTCCCTCTAGCACCTTCCGATGGCAGAACCTAACCCAGATCCGACGGTCAGGGGACTGGGGGAAGAGCCGCCTGCAGAGTCCCAGCCCCAGCATCACAGAGTAGAGTAGAAAGGTAGGGGTACAGAGGTGGGGGGTGGCTTGGAGCTGAGAGACGACAGGCCAACGCCCAGCCCAGGTGCCGGCCCCTTACCTGGTCCTCTGGCAGGCACAGCAGATCCAGTCCTCTTCTTTCTTCTGGTAGAAGCAGCCACTTTTGCAGATGCTGTACTTCCGGTCCACAATCTCACGTTTGGAGTTGAGGAAGGTGAATGGCGGGCAGCAACGTATGCTGAACTGCTCAGAAAACTTCTGGTTCTTGGAGAGTCTGGGACCCTCCTTACCCGTTTTCTGACTCATCTCACTGGAAGTCATCCATGCGGGGGGGGGACAGAAACAGCAGGTCAGGTGAGAGAGTGTTCTACTCAGGAATGCACCCCTGCTACTCCCAGAGCTGTCTTATGCAACAAAAACCTGAAGTAGCAAGTTCCTACCCAAGTATGGAGAACAACTAAATTAAGGGTTGATTAATTTTTGTATATTTTTTGTTTTCTGGAAATGGACTCTTTTTCCCATATGTTTAATGATCCATTTAAGATAGAAAAAGATATTACAAAGCCAAACATTACGGAGCACCTAGTGTATGGTGGTTGCTTTATATACGTCACCTCGTTGTTATAACATATGGCATTGTCAACAAACTACAGATGAGAGAAGCTAAGAAACATGACCAAGTTCATAAAGCCTGTGAGAGGCAGACAGAGGATTTGAACCCATGCCTCTCTGACTCCAAAATCCTGTGCCTTTTGACCAGGCCCAGCACTATCTGTGCTCCCTGTGCTCAGCCCTTCTCTCCCAGCAGCAGGGGGCCAGGCGCTGGGCCCAGACTGGACTTTGGGGGACTGAGATGGGCCCAGAGAAGGGATAGTCTGCATAGATGTGCATGGGTCCTGGGCTGAAAAAGACTGAAAGTTGGGGAAAGAGCTCAATGAAGAAGGAAAGGTAGAGAACGGCATTTGGAGACCTCCACAGTGTGCATATGCAGCAAGGACTTCCCCAGCAAGCAAGAAAGCCCACAGTGGGGAACTAGAATGTAAACTCAGAGAGGGTCCTGAAGGGAGAATGACAGACAGGTGTTTCCCTCTGTTCCCCCACCACCTGGCCTTAGCAGGTTTTAAAATCTACACTCACTGTTGAAAATAAAATATTTTGGATGAATGGAAATAATACAAATTCTGCCCAGCTGGCGTGGCTCAGTGGTTGAATGTCAACCTGTGAACCAGGAGGTCACGGTTCGATGCCCAGTCAGAGCACATATAGTTACAGCCCCCTTTATAGTTTATATATTTTCATCTTCTCTCGTTTTTCTTGATTAATCTTGCCAGAAGTCATCTCCTTTATATTCTTTTCAGAAGCAAACTCCTGGTTTTCTTGCTTATCTTGGCCCATTTTTTTTCTAGTTCATGAATTTCTGTATGCATTTATTATTTTTCAGTTTCTTTTCTCTTATGCTCTTGTTCTATTTCTCTATTCTTGAATCCAATGCTTCTCACATAGGCATTTATGACTGTAACTTTTCCATTAAATACAACTTTAGTTGCATACCAAAAGTATTAACATAAATCATTTTCACTTCATTTTAAATATGGATGAGTTCTTTGATTCATCAATTCTCTTTAAAAATCTGTTATAAAATTTCCAAGTGTATGGAATTAATTTCGTTATATTGACTTCTGATTCTAATGCATTCTAGTCAGAAAGGAGTGTATATGATCATGACTCTTTGATATTTGTTGAGATTTTCTTCATAATGTCCTAGTATATATTCAGCATTGTTCCACGTTCCACATGTGCTTGGAAAAAAATGTGCATTTTGGAAACAATTTGGGGTTATCTAACGAAGATAAAAGTATGCACAAAATACAGTGTAGCCATCTATTCTTGGGCACAGCAGCCACCTTGGATGGTGGCTCAACCATGAAGATGAAGCCTCAGGGTGGAGCACAAAACCTGGAGGAGCCCGAATTCGTGGTGACAGTGGAGCTGCTGTTTCCACCTGGACTCTAAACCTGGACTCTTGAACACTGTACACCTTTACATGAGACAATTCCTTCTCAAAGTGGACAAGAGTATAGGGAACCTGAAAGTCCTCATGGCAAGGAGGAAGGGGTGGCTGGTCTAGGTCATGTCCTCTTCTGCTAGACTCTGCTACAGGGTACCTGTGTGGTCTCACCTGGCCCCTGGCATGAATGACACATTACCACTTACCACCTGACCCCACCAAAGCCACTGGTCCCTACTCAGCAGCCTCCTATTGTGATCCAGCTGTCCTCTCAGCCCCTACACCTCCGCTCCAGGTAACTTCCGGGTCCCACGCATGCCATGCACTACATATGGGGAATCAAGAGCCCTTTCTTGGGGCCACTGGCCTAGACAGCTCCTCCCAGCCCCCCCAAAAAGCTGTGTACTCACTCAGGGGATGAGGGCAGGCATCCTCCAAGGGCCTGCAATCTGCCCCCACTATTCCTGTTGAAGTGTGTCAGTAGGACCCACCACACACACTTCCAAATCTGTCTGGACATTTCTACACCATGCCACACCCCGCCCTGATCTTGGGGTTTCATCTGAAGAAAAGCGAGAACATGGCCGCCTGCCTCCTTCAGTTTCTCTCCCCATGAATGTGCGCCACAGTGGACAGAATTCTTCCACAAACTCACCAGGTGGAAAGGCTTGAGCGCAGGAGGCCATGCTCCCTCCCAGGCCGTTCCTTCCCTCCCCAGCCCCCCCCCTCCCCCCCCCCCGTACATGGCTATCACTTCTCACTGAAACCACCGGCCACCCTCTCTGCCTTCAAGTGGTTGGGAATAATTGTAAGGAAAAGATGGAAGTAACCAGAAATTGGCATTTTCATAGAACAAGATGAAATGTCTAGCATTAAAAGCACTATTACTTCAAAACATGAAGAATTAACTTCAAGTGCTTAAAATATTTATAAATTTTTAATGAATTTCTATTAGATCTTGCCTCCATTTCACAATGTAATATTTATTCTCTGAAAATCAAAGCCCTTGAGAGCAATAAAAGCAGTTAACCTTTCATTTTCTGAGAGGAGACAGAAATATAGTTACAGTAATAATGCATGAATATGGGTGAAAATAGTAAATGGAATTTTACTGACTGGTAAGCATAAGGAGGCAGCTGGGATATGTGATTTAAAAAAAAACAAACAGACTTAATTTTGCATATTACACAGAATCAGGGGATGGTCTTTCAAGACATTGCCAGAACAGAAAGCGTGAAGCATCCGTAACTCTATATATTTCTTAAAACCAGACTAGCTTATTAAAGGCGAGACTAGCCGAAACCGGTTTGGCTCAGTGGATAGAGCGTCGGCCTGCGGACTGAAGGGTCCCAGGTTCGATTCCGGTCAAGGGCATGTACCTGGGTTGCGGGCATATCCCCAGTGGGAGATGTGCAGGAGGCAGCTGATTGATGTTTCTCTCTCATCGATGTTTCTAACTCTCTATCTCTCTCCCTTCCTCTCTGTAAAAAATCAATAAAATATATTAAAAAAAAAAAAAAAGGCGAGACTATGGGCAAGGGAATCCTAGCATTTTTATAAAAACACAATGTAAGCAGTAAGGCTTTGACTTTATTTAATTATTAATATTCTTATACTTGATTTAATTATGGAAATATTAGATAGCTATTTGAAGAACAATATTAGGCAGCCATTTTTAAAGATGCTTATGAAGAGATTATGCTGACATAAGAAAATATTTCTGTAATATCAAGTGAAGGCAGCAGGAAGCTAGACTATTTCTTTTTTTAGTATTTTTTTTATCGATTTCAGAGAGGAAGGGAGAGGGAGAGTGAGTTGGAAACATCAATGATGAGAGAGAATCATTGATTGGCTGCCTCCTGCACACCACCTACTGAGTATTGAGCTTGCAACCCGGGCATGTGCCGTTGACCAGAATCAAACCTGGGACCCTTCAGTCCACTGAGCTAATCCAGCTAGGGCTAGACTATTCCTTGTATGTCATCAACTCCAGGGTCCAGCTGCAGCCAGTTGAGAGTCAGAGGCTGACCACATCAAGAGGGCTCCCAGCTTCCTCAGACACCTCCAGAGGGTCTAGGACAGAAGCCAGGGTGGCCTCGGCAGGAGAGAGACACACACTGAGACCCTGCCTTGAATAGATGAGACACTGATACTCTGGAGACTTCGAGCAATCTTAGGCCTAATTTCCAGGATGGCAAAGACTCTCTGAATTGTTGGTGGGAGCTATTAAGACAGTTGGGACCACAGTGGACCCACTGACAGTGCAGGCCAGGTAACACATGCAAAAAATATACACAGAAAAAGACGGAAGGTAGATGCAATAGTAACACCCAGCCACTCATTCAAATACTATTGAGTGCCCACTAAGTGCCAATTGTGAATAAGACAAAGTAGGTGCCTGTACTCATGGAGCTTGGGGAACAGTGAAGGGGACTCTAACAGATCATATTATGAACAAGGTAGTCAATGTCTAACTGAAGTGTGATTAAACTCCTGGGTGCTAGGAGTGAGGGGCTAGGGGAGGGTTCCGGAAGAAGAAACATTTAACTTGAGACCTAAAGGATGCGTGGGAACCACCCGGGTGTAGGGGAGGAGAGAATTGCAGACAGAAGGCGCTGAGACTTGACATGCTGAGGAAACCACAGAAGGGGGCGCGGCTGAATATCATGTGGGCCAGACAGCCCAGGGCCTTGATGGTGAGCTAGTGAATAGGAAGAATGGGAAGGCACGGAAAGGTCTTGACCAAAGGAGGTAAATCTTCCTGTTCATGTTCCGGGAAGATCACTCGGGCTTCTGGCAATGGAGACCAGGAGGCAGAAGTGGAAGCGAGAAGACCAGTGAGGGAGGATAGGAAATTCACCTAGGGCAGTGGCAGTGACGGTGGATCTTGGAAGTAAGACTTAAGGATGGATTGGGTGTAGAGTCCATTGGAAAGGACAGGGCAAGGAAGACAGCCAGGCTTTCGTCCTGAGCAAATGCCTAATAGAGCAGTTTACTGAGATGGAGGAGATAGGGGGAGGGGAGTGAGGGTTTAGTGGGACATTCATTTATTCAACAAATATTAATTGAACATCCACTTTGCGTCGAAAATATTAAAGCTGAGATGCTTATGAGGATCTAGTGCTGATGACTGGTCTGTAGTAGAAGCATTGGCCTAGGCCTCAAAATTGCTAAGGACCAGAGTATAACATGAGCAAGGAGCTAGGCAGGAAGACCAACAATGAACAGGGCTTGCAGATGGATTAATGGCAGGCAGGAAAGAAGAACAAACAGGATTTCTCCAAGGGGGCATTTTATAATGGAAAATAGATGAACTACTCAAAAGAGAGACAAAAATGAGAATAGATCCAAGACCCCAATTAGAATAATAACAGCAAATACATGTCAGGAGATACAAGCCAGACACATTTCAAAGACTTCACATATTCAATTCATTTAATCCTCACAACCTCACAATAGCACCGTTTTTGCACATGAGAAAGCTGAAGACATAGAGCTAGTAAGTGGGGGCCCCAAGATCTCAACCAAGGCAGACTGGTCACTATTTCTAATCTTGACACTATGCGGTTTCTAACAGTAGACATGAAGAGGAGGGAAGCAAATCAAAGATGATTTAATAGAACAGAAGATACTACAAAGCTGCAAGTTAAAAGAGCTGTACCTGTAGAGAAGAAAATATATGAACATATAAAAATATAAGGTGCTAATAACCAGAATGTTTACAGAAAAAAACTATATTTTTTAAAAAAACAGGCAAATAATAGAAAAAGATGAATCTATAAAAGCCAGTTATAATATACCAATAGGCTTAAGTCTGTAAGATTAAAAGAAAGAGAAATAAAAGCAAAGAAATGTCAATTCGTGCCCACTCCGACTGGCCCAAAAAAGAGGGGATGACATTAGCAAAGAATGGGGAAAAGGCTGCCAATCAGTGTGTTGGGGAGTGGGGGGGGGGGGGTTAGGGTTAGGGTTGGGGGGGTGGTTAGCAGCGTTCAGCTAACAAGGACTGGGCTGGAGCTGGGTTCAGTGAACCATCCAGGCTGCAAGCCCTGGGCTGTCAGAAGGATGCCTCCGACTTCCAACAAGTGAGGAGTGCACACGGATGCTCTGACCAGGAGCTGTTTTTGGAATAAAAATTAGGGGTTCAAAAGTTTCCCTTCACTTGAATCAGGGTGCTTTTCCCCAAAGAGCAGCGTCTTGTCAAAACCCAAAACTGATTTGAGGACCTGCAGGGGCTGTGAAAATAGGATCCTGACTGTCTTGGGGTTGACAACCTCCTTGGGAGACAAAACAACACCCTCACTGCTTTCTTTGGCTCCGGCAGCAAGGATAAATTAAAGCTGTCCAAGGACCACACTGCTCAGTCAGCTCTCTCACAGACTTGTGCGAAAGACCGTTCTGACTGAGCAAACACTGCCTGACTCGGGCTTTTCTAGAAAGGGAATACGTGTGACCCCAGGTGGGCATCCTTCGCACACAGCCAATATATCTGGCAAGTCTTTTAGGAATAGAAACCTTGCTCGTTATAGTGAAGCCAGATAAACATGTAAGAAGTCGCCGAAGCCGGTTTGGCTCAGTGGATAGAGCATCGGCCTGCGGACTGAAGGGTCCCGGGTTAGATTCGGTCAAGGGCATGTGCCTGGGTTGCGGGCACATCCCCGGTAGGAGATGTGCAGGAGGCAGCTGACCAATGTTTCTGACTCTCTAACTCTCTCCCTTCCTCTCTGTAAAAAATCAATAAAATATAGTTAAAAAAAAAAAAACATGTAAGAAGTAATTTTCTGAATGCAATTTTAATGACATTGTTTTTGTTACATCTAAAATTATACAATACATTGTTTTTTACCTTAATGGAATGTGAATTTGCACTAGAATGGTATGTGGATAAATAATTCCAAAATTTTCTACAGATGGGGCAAATGGGTCCAGGAAATGGAACCAAAGGTATGATTTGTCTCGTTTGTCATTTCCCCTACTCGAAAATTTCAGAGGCTCTCCCCAGTTACAGAGCAAAGTCCTTGCTTCTTAGTGAATATGGCCCACAGGACGCCTCCTGTCCACCTTGCCCCTTTATCTCTCACAACCACCCCACTCTGTAATAGGTCAGAAACATCCTGCTTGTGTGGTGAACGTCTATTCATCCTCAACAACCCAGCTGAGGTCTCACCTCATTAAAGGATGCACCCACTTTGGGGCTGTCTTTGTGACTTTTGCATATACTTCCATTGGTGGGCATGTCCCACTGGAAGAGTGTGGCTGCATGTCTGGGATCCCAGCTTGATCTCTTTAAGAGAAGGGCTTCTGTCTGAATCCCCAGGGCTCTGCTGTGCCCTCCACCCTTACTGAATTGAGTAGCTTTGCAATCCTCTGGGGTGGTATGTAGAAATCAGGTGGCTTTGGGTAGATTCTCAGTATGGTTATTTTAAGAATTAAGGTTTTAACGTAAGTGCTCTCTCCATAGACAATATTATTTTTCAATGTGTGCTTAGTTTTATAATCATTTGTCTTTCTTAATCTGTTTGTGATTTTAAAAATAAGAATTGTGTTTCTCCTTCTCTATGAAAATGATGGGGTTTTGAATGTACTCCCATGTAAGTAAACAAATCCTCTCTGGTAATTTTTCCTGGATAAAGGAGAGGCAAGCAATCGTCCAGATTTGCATTTGTTTATAGAAAAGCCTAAGGGTCAGTGTGGCCCATAGTCTGGGCAGGGGGCGAAGGGAAAGAACCCGGATTACCTGCTGGGCTGGTTGATTACTTTGCCGTGGGCTCTCCAAGGGCATCAGTCTCGGGGAGATGAAGAGACCAGGCCAGAGACAAGCTAAGATATGCACTGGATTGCTGACCACCCCTTTCGTTATTTTGTGTCCAAGGCCATTATCTGAGTCATCCAATGGCAGTTATATTTGTAGACTTCTTCGGTTGGATAAAAGGCCACTTATCTTTGTAATTTATATACCTCCATCTTTATATTTACCATGTTATATTGAAATTATCCATCTATTCAAAAAAACCAGAGGAGGAGTCAAGGGGGACTCCAAGGTATATAGTTTGAGTGACCAGGTGGGCAGTGGAAGCATCTGCTGGAGGAGAAGGTTTGGGGGAAGAAGCACAATCATGAGTTCAGTTTTGGATGCAGTGGAGTTGAGGCGTTAGAGGGGCATCTAGATGGAGACGTCAAGTGGAAAGTTCAGAGGAGACGTCCGGGCGGGAGATAGAATCTGAGAGTTGTTGGAGTGTAGGTGGCAATGAAGCCTTGATGGATGGAATTGCCTTGGTGGCAAAATGCTGGGTGAGAAGAGGATATAACTGTGCCGTAGGACACCCCCACATTTACAGTCTAGGTGGAGGAGGAGTGATTGGCAAGGAATAAAGAGAAAAGTCGGAGAGGAAGGAGGGACACTGGGACATATGAGCACGGGAGCCAAAGGGAAGGAGTGTTTCAAAAGAGGAAGTAGTCGACTTCGTAGAAAGATTCTGAGACACTGGTGGTGTGATATGAGGATATAAAGAGTACATTAGATTAAGAGACATGAAAGTAATTGGTGACTTTAGCAAGAATTGTTGCCATGGAATGTTTAAAAGAGAAATTGGATTAGAGGGTTTGTGGCGGGAATAGGAGCTGAGGATTTGGAGAGAAAAACTAAGTCAACTGAGGCCAGAGTTTGAGAATGAAGGGGGAGAGAGTCATGGAAGCTAGGAAGTAAGTGGTTTCCAGAGTTTAGTAGGGTGCCTAACATAGTAAGTTGAAAGAAAGGAAGGTCATGAATGAGACCCTAGATGTTTGCACTACTTGAATTAGAGAGGAGGCAGTTTCAAGTACTGGCAAGCTCCACAGTGTGCCAATGAATGGATGAGGCAGAGTGTACAGTACATGGGTTTGATAAAGGTAGACAAATGGTGGCTTAGGTCATAGTGTCTTAATGCACAGACATAGGGTTTTTCCCCCAAAATTTCTACTACCCAAACCTAGAAACACCTGGAATAGTTTTTTAAAGTGTTTAACTCTTATTAAAAATTGGATTGCTCAGTCTTTTGCTGAGCACTCGACTTGAACTTTCTGAACTAATGATCATTATACAGTAATCTACGTCAGGTCCAAAAGAGTGTAAGAGATTCACTGGTACCTGTATTTTCATCCGTACACATCTGGTGATTAGGTCTCTGTTATGAGCTTGTCTTGGTATCATTTGCTTCTTCTTCTTTTTTTTTCTTTTCCTAAAAGTGAAGCAGCAGAATGTGTTCTGGTTACTCAGGTTGTAGTCAATTCGAGTGCGTTGTGCACAGAGCTTCCCTCTCACATTCTGCATCCGATTCCTGACTTTTAAATGCTGTTGCTCCCGAGTCAAACGCTGCTCTCTTTCCCCTATGCCCATTCCTGCCACATGTGGACTCTAACTAGGGATTAACTATATTCTTCTATTTCCTGTATCTTGATGCTCTGGCATCTGGGGCCTTGCTGTTCCTGGAGAGACTGCCCCTCTCAAGGCTAATTAATTCTTAGACACAGCAAAGGACTCCCCTGTTCAGAGTGCCTTTTATATGCAAACTAACCAATCCAGAGCCTAAGCACACCAACTACCATTTTTGTTTTTTATCAAACTGTCACAGATTGCCCTGACTGGTTTGGCTCAGTGGATAGAGCATCAGCCTGGCGACTGATGGGTCCCAGGTTCGATTCCAGTCAAGGGCATGTACCTTGGTTGCGGGCCAAGTAGGGGGTGTGCAGGAGGCAGCTGATGGATGTTTCTCTCTTACCGATGTTTCTAACTCTCTATCCCTCTCCCTTTCTCTCTGTAAAAAAATCAATAAAATATATTAAAAAAAACAAACAAACTGTCACAGATTGAGCCATAATTCCTCTATCCTAATCATCCCAGAGCCAAGTACCAGATGACTCAGGTCAACTCTACACTCCAGAGTCCCCCACTGAACTTATTTAAACTTGCCCATCCTAAACCTGCTTACCCTGCTTACCCTGCCTGGCTCATTCATACCTGTACAAAGGTACAATAAAGTCTCTTGCTCATGCCTTCCAGCCCCTTCTGGCTCCTGGCAGACTCTAGTGCTTCCCCATCTAGCCCTCCATGGTCTGGCATGCCCTCTCCTCTTGGGAACTGTGAATAACAAACTAACTTTTCATTTAAAAAAAAATTTTTTTTTTTGAGAGACAGTTTAGAGAAACATCAGTATGAGCGTGAAACATCTATTGGCTTCCTCCTGCACACTCCCTACCAGGGATCGAGTGCACAACCTGGGCCCTGACCTGGAATCGAACCATAGAACCGGCAACCTTTCGGTGCACAGGAGCCACACCAGCCAGGGTAACAAACTATCTTTTCAATGGCAGTCATCTGATTTGCTGGCCTCACCAAACCTAGACAAAAACAAAATCCCAGGTACATTTTAAAATATATTGGTCCCTTAACCACAGTTAACACCAGGTTTTACCTAATGCATTGTAACAGAAGCACCAGAATCCAGAGCGACCTTCACAGCCATACAAGACGTCACTCCTGGAGTCCATGCGATGGTACCTAATCCTCGGGTTGGCAGTCTTCAGACTGTGGAAAGCAACTCAACTCCCAGCCACAAGACTCTCCTGGCCTGCAAGCCTTCCATGTCCTGACCCCAATTTTTTTGACTAAGTGTGAGGAGGCCCTTATTTTCCACCCCAGGATGGCTCATCACAGGAACACATAATCCTTCAAGTAGAAAACACTTTCTCCAACTCCAGGATGACTTTTACAGCTCAGATAAGGCAATTATAACAGCTGATGCTACATTTTCTCAAAAGCTGGGTTCCTCAACATTAAATAGCACCATTTGCAGAATCCCAAAGTTATAACCTAATTTCATATTTAGAAAAAATATATTTATCTACCTAATCCAGGGAATAGTCCTGTGAAAGCCATAATACATTCACTTAACTACAAAGATCATATAACAAATTAATCAACTCCCCCTCACTCAGATTTATGATAACATCAGAGTTTTTTTTGGGGGGGGGTGCTTTATATTTTTGTATCTAAAGAATCTATTTTAAGAATAATAAAACTGCCAGCCACCTCTGAACAGTTTTCCCACTTACGAGCAAACAAATGAAAGTTCCTTTTACCAGACACCCTGTCAGCGTGCTGAAGGCGGCCAGCGAGCCCGGAGCGGCTCGTCAGGACAGCTCTTATTGAACTGTATCTGTTTTCAGCAGAGGGTTTTGCTTAGAAAGAAATGATCACATTTATGACACTCATACTCACAGAGCAGCAGACATGAATCCAACACACACAAAGAATCTAAATTAAATACCTCACCATACACCTATCAAGTTCATGTACACATCATTATAATTACTATTTATAAGTAAGGGACAGCACTTACACACTTTGGTGAATATTGGGAATTATCAGAAAAAAAGCCCTGGATTTTTAATTTTTTTCACTTTCTTGTAATTTTAGGTACTCATTTAAAATCCTACTAACCACTAGATAAACAACATCTTGAATTAAAAATTTGTACAATCGGATTTAAGTGTGACTTTGTATATTTATGATCTATAATGCAAGCATAGTCCTTCCAAACTTCATAACCTGGACCTAATCATGAGAAAACATCAGACCAAACCCCAAGTGAGGGACATTTAACAAAATAACTCCTTGCCCTGGCCAGTGTAGAGCATTGGCCCGTGCACCCCAGGGGTCCACCTGAGGGTCCAGGTTTGATTCCTGGTCAAAGGAAGGTACCTACGTGGGTTGCAGATTTGACCCCAGCCCTGGTAGTCAGGGTACGTGTGGGAGACAACCAGTCAGTGTGTCTCTCTCATATCAATGTCTTCCACTCTAAAATCCTCAGGTGAGGATTATCAAAATAATAATAATAATAATAATAATAATAATAATAACTCCTCAAAATAATAACTAGTCGAGGCATGAAAGAGAATGACTGTCTTGGGTACTGTTCCAAAGTAATGGAGACTAAAGGACATGGTCACTAAAGGGGATGCATGATCCTGGACTGACTTCTGGGATAACTGGTGAAATCTAGTTGTGTGCAGAGTAGATAATAGTATTTTCTCCATGTTAATTTTTTTATTTTGTTCACATCTGTAATTTAATTTCAAATGGCTCAGAAAGAAATATGTATATGTGTATACAGAGAAAGAAAGGATAATAAAGCAAATGTAGTAACCTGTCAGCATTTGAGTAATCTGAATTTTTGTACTGCTTGTGATTTTTCTGTAAACATGAAGTAATTTTTATAATCCACTCACCAAGGCATTCTCCTGCTCTTCGGAATAAACATAAAATAGCATAGCTGCACATCTGACAATAGTCTGTTTTGTGCCTCCTGGATTTATTCATGTAGCATTAAAAATTCTTTTCCCCATGTTCTTCCTAGAACTTTAGCCAAGTTTATAACGTTATTCCCCTGACACATAATCTTTTCCTTTTTCTATCAACCACAAAACTGAAAATAAAAAGAAACACCTCTGTGATTTCTGAAATTCTGCTCAAGACAAAGCACGGATGTCTTTCCATTTAAGTTTTCTAGGAAACAATGTTCTTCCAAGATTGGGGCTGTGCTGTCCATCCCCTTCCCACCCACCCCCCCCACACACACACATAAAACCGGCTGTATGAAGGAAAGCGTTGTTCCTAGATAAGGAAAACTCATTTCAAATCATGATAAATTATAAAAGGAGAGAAAAAGAAGCAGCCAATAGTGCTGTTCAAGGAACAGGGGGCTTTAGACTGGAATGAGTTAGGGTCCAGAGCCCTTTCCCAGGCTCAGACAATTTCCAGGCAGTTGCCAGAACATTCCAGGAGGGCCCTCTGCACACATCTGAATAGCCTCGGTGTCCTCTGTGCTTGCGTTCTCCCTCCTTTTATGCCCTCCCACTCCTGGCAGCTATTCCAGGTTTCCCCTGGGACACAGTGAAACGGCCCACACACAAATGCGCACTTGCCACTGGAGATGAAGTACAACATGAAGTAAGATGAAAACCAACGGAATCCCCTTACCTTCAGGTAGCAGTTGTGTGAAACAGGTTCCACGTCTGTACCAGGCGCCTGAGAGGATGAGGCTACTCAATGCATGCGGAATATATAGGGAGGGATTATATATCCGGGTTTTTCATTACACAAGGTGTTTTTGATGGAATCTCAGCCAAGATTCACTTAAAAACAAAAGCTACACAAAGACTACAAAAAGGCCACACAAAGTTTCAACAAAAGGCTAAAGAAAGAGCAAACAAAAGCCAAAGAAAGTTTAAACAAAGAGTGAAACAAAGACAACACAAAGGCCAAACAAAGACAAAACAAAGACTGAAACAAAGGGCAAAAGAAAATCTAAACAAAAGCTAAGTTACAACCACATTACACACAAACACACACATACACACAGTCACAAACCATATCTACACGTCAGCCCCACACTCTCATATCCCAGTCTCCCACCTCTCACATCCTACATCACACCCCATTCCAACGCCCTCACCAAGGCTCTCTCCATACTCACTTTCCCCAAATCAAACCACACACCAACTCACTCCACCAAACTACACATGCTTCTGCCAACGTGGCACCACCACAGCAGTCATCCCAGCTCCCACCGCGCTACACCTCACCGCACATGCCACAAGCCAAACCCACAAGCGACGAACAGAGTTGGAACCACACTGACAAATCCCTGCCTTTGGAATCTCTTTCCACACTCTACTCAGAGTAAACACGCACCCTCCCTAACACTCCCTACATACACAAACATGCATATATACACACATCCAAGACTAGCATGCATACATGCATGCCCTCACACAATTTAGCAAGAGTACCTCAGTGTAGTTACTACTGAGATTAGATCTGGATTATTCTATAACAATTACCATTTACGTTCAAATTCATGAAAACTTTAAAAAATATCTATGATAGATGATTTCTGTAAATTAAGAACCTCATTTAATTAACAGAACACCCCATAATATTGACTTCAGTCTTGGACATGGCATTTTCTTATCATTTTCCTGGAGTTTGGGGGTTACACCATTGAATCCTGTAACTGTCCCTCGGTTAAAAGTCATGGATCCACCCTACCTGGTTTGGCTCAATGGATAGACCATCGAACCTGGGACTGGTTCAATTCCGGTCAGGGCACATGCCTGGGTTGCAGGCTGGAACCCTAGTAGGGGCATGCAGGAGGCAGCTGATTCATGATTCTCATCATTCATGTTTTAATCTCTCTCTCCCTCTCCCTTCTTCTCTGAAATAAAAATAAATAAATAAAATAAATGTCATGAATCCTACAACCAGTGCTTTTGCTAAATTTCATTCTATGTGGAGAATTACATACTAATGATTTGAAAGATGAAAGGATATTTCTGAAACTAATCCAACCAACAGTAGCTTTGCCTCTTGAATTCCCACAACTCCTTGCATGAGAGTGAGATTTACATGTCAACACTGTCATAAAGTTTCTTTCCAGGCTCTTGTCACAGTAATGCGAAAAGAATCATCCTAGGGGATCTTGAGGAGGCGATCCAAGAAGACTGAAAACATACCATGTAAATCTCATTGCACCCTAACTTCATGGCTACTTAAACATTCTTGATCTGTGTAACAAGGTACATACGTCTGCTGGTTGGTTCACTCCTGCTGTGAGGCCAGCACTTTGCCTGTACTGCATGGATGTGCGTGAGGGTTCGGGAGCAGAACAAGGTGGCTCAGAGCACGGGCTCTGGAGGACTCAGAGATAGTCACTAAGCCGGTTAGGATGTCACACTGGTTGGAACTGTGCCTGGCACACAGTGCTACATCCATGTTAGCTATTGTGGTCTGGCCCTAAAGAAGCTTGTGAAACAGTTGTAAGAACACATTTCCTACTTAGAAAACAACTGGCGATGTTGTCTAAATAGGTTTTGTTGGGGTTTTTTTGCACTTCATTTTATTTTTCAGGCTTTTCTTTTGCATTTTACTTTATAACTGAATTTATTAGGATGACACTAATAAAACTACATAGGTTTCAGGTGTACAATTCCATAATACAGCAACTATATATTGTATTGTGTTCACCAACCCAAGTAAAATCCCCTTCCATCACCATTTATCCCCTCTGTACCCTCTTCTCCTCCCCCACCCCCTTTCTCTCTGGTGAATTCAGATTATTTTAAAAGTACAAGATAGAGTGGGTAGATTATAGAGATAACCTCTTCCCTAAAGGACTCCTCTGCTTCTCAAACCTTTCTAACAAACGTCCTTACTGGCAAACCTTGTCAAGTCCTGTCTTTGACCTTCTACTCCATGATATATGGAGTGATGCACAATTTATGCAACCAAAGTATGGAGTTCCCACAGAACACTCATTATGCCGTCTCTCTTTACTCCTATTTAAATTTGGGTGTTTGCCCCTCATGCAGTGGTGTTCTCAGTCCCAGACAGACAGTGTAGGAGCCACACCTGAGTCAGGGGCACTTCTTTGAATGGCAACTTTGTGTTCCACAGAGGGCACCACCTCCTAGAACTTCAAGTGGATTCGTGGCCAAAATTAAATGACTTGCTAACGTTACAGATAATTTCTCCACAGAAACTCTGGCTGCCACCGACAATCCCCCCATGTTATGGGCTGAATTGTGCCCCCTCCAAATTCACAGGCTGCAGACCTAACTCCCAGACCTTACTTAGAAATGGGCCTTTTCAAAGGTAATCAAGTGAAAATGAGGTTAGGGTGGGTCACTGATGTCCTATAAAAAAAAAAGACATTGGCCCTAGCCGGTTTGGATCAGTGGATAGAGCATCTGCCTGCGGACTGGAGGGTCTCAGGTTTGATTCCAGCCAAGGGCACATGCCTGGGTTGTGGGCTTGATCCCCAGTAGGGGGTGTGCAGAAGGCAGCCAATCAGTGATTCTCTCTCATCACTGATGTTTCTATCTCTCTCCCTCTCCCTTCCTCTGTGAAATCAATAAAATATAATGTTTTTTAAAAAGAAGACATTGGATACAGAGACATTCATGGAGGGGAGTCAATGTGAAGACACATGGAGGCGATGGTCATTTACAAGCCAACGAGAGTCACCTGGGACGTACCTTCTCTCCAGCCCTCCAGAGGAACCAACCTGCTGACATCTTCTGCTTGGACTTCCAGCCTGGAGAACTGCTGTTTAAGCCACTCAGTGATACTATGTGGTACTATGTAATGGCAGCCCTAGCAAACGAATACATCAGTTACTGTAACTACTTTTTTAATTCATTTTGATGAGTATTTATCAAAATATTTGCACAAAGTTATAATGCATCAAAAAGCTTATGAGAAACAATAGTCCCTTTTGCACTTCATCCCACTCCATAATCCCACTCACCAAAGGCAACACGTTCAACAAATTTTAGCTATTTTTCTCTATTCATTTCCATACTGTTAAAAATTCAAACAGCTACATATATGCTTGCTTATTATAGACTATTGGCTCCCAATTGAGGTTTAATTTTCTTACACTCTCCTCCTTTCTCTCCCTCTCCCCTTACCAACTGAATGTAGTTATACCTGTCAATATTTATATTATTATCAATAAGTAAATATCTTTCCTACACAACTTTGTAATCAATTATGATAACTGCATTTCTTTATATAAATTTGTTTTTCCTGGAGTTAATAATTGTTCTATTTTGCTTTCATTTATTTTAATTTGCTTAGTGTTTTATTTCTCACTTTTTTAAATATTCCAACAGACTTGTCAAATAACTATCAATTTTTCAAATATTCCAATCTATCAAATAACTGTTTACTTCTATTGTCTTCGTAATCTGTTCTCTTGCTCGACTTTTGGACTGGTTGCTCTCAAAGTCTGGTGCGGGACTGAAACTTCCCTGCACTTTTTTGCCATAAGGATCACCTATGTCGTGGATCCCATGTCATTCTCATTTTTTGTCTGCTCCCTCATTTTCTGAAGTACACTCTCTAGTGCCATCATTGGAAAGAGCACGCGTTAAGTGAATTTTGTTTTAGTTCTTGCATACCTGAAAGCTGCTTTATTCTACCCTCACATTTGATTGCCTTGTTGGGTATAGAATTCCAGATTGAAAATTATTCTCCCTCAAAATTGTGGATGCATCGTTTTTCCATATTTTTGGAAGAAACAGTATGTGTTGTTCACCTGCCACTTTTAACCAAAAACACAGTAATTGTTTTATTGTAATATAACATACACGTACTATAGAATTCAAAATATTAGGCATAAAATGTAGAGCTTTTAAAATATATTTAAGGGTGTAGAAACATCACCACTATCAAATTCTCTGACATTTTCATTACTTTAAAAATAAATCCGTACTCATTCACAGTGAAACATACACTATTTCATATGAGTGTAGAAAGATTCAAGCAGAAAAAGGCCTGGAGGGTATGACATCGTTATGGAGATTGGTGAAGGTAAGTGTGAAATGAGTGGGTCATTTATAGAGGGACGTTATCTTAGGAAAGACTCTGACGAGATAAGGACATCTCTATTATTTCACCCTAAAGCTTCAATGTACATGAAGTCATCCACAATTAGAGCATTGTTGTTTAGCTAACAAAACCTTGTGTCACAATGTGTTGTAAAAATTGTTTTTTTTTTTATTTAAAAGACTTAAAAAACAAGCCAAAGATTTTCAGGTTCATGACAAAAATGCTATTTTTTTTCCTGTAGAAATATGGAAAAAAATGAGTTTTATGAATAGCTGTAAGACCATTTAATTATTTCAAGGTATATAGTGAATTGGTTGATCAAAACTGAAAGAAACAAACCTAAATGGGTCTTCATTTGTCCTTTAATCCTAACTTTCAGAGCAGATCTGTCTCCATCGAGACTTTGACCTTGATCTTAGAGCTTTTTAGCTACAGTCCCCAACTTTGGTAAATAGAAGAATACAGCACCAGCTGAGCTGCCAGCAGCTCAGACAAAGCCTCTGTGTTCCCAAGCTCCAGACTCTCTCCCCTCTCCTCTCCCTCTCCTCTTCCTCTCTCCTATCCTCCGCCCAGTCAGAATTGTGAATTGTTTGGCCACTAATGACCTGCGGAATAATGTACATTATAGTCCTTAATTAAGGGACTGGGCTTTATCCAACTTGCTGTTAAAACTCACTCTTGCCCTAGCCAGTTTGGCTCTGCGGATAGAGCTTTGGCCTGTAGCCCGAAGGATCCCAGGTTCTATTCTGGTCAAGGGCACGTACTACATTTGCAGGCTCCTCCCTGGCCCAGGCTCGGGCAAGAGGCAACCAATCGATTTTCTCTCACATCGATGCTTCTGTCTTTCTCTCTAAAAATCAATGGAAAAATATCCTCGGGTGAGGATTAAAAAACACACACACACACAAAAAAACACTCACTCTTAAGGTGACATGCTTCTCCTATTCAACTTTCTGAGCCCAATTCGTGGATTTTACCCCTTGTATCATTACTATTAGAGAAGGAAAGGGTGGGCACAGGGTAGCAAAATTCAAGGATTCTAGCAAAAATAGAGATTCAGAACAAGAATGGATCAGTGTACTGTGTTAAAGAAAACCAGAGCTGAACAGTAATTAAAGGGTTAAAGACAGATTTTATTCAGCTGTTGCAATAGACAGCGGTTCTCAACCTGTGGGTCGCGACCCCCTTGGCGGTCGAACGACCCTTTCACAGGGGTCGCCTAGACCATCCTGCATATCAGATATTTACATTACAATTCATAACAGTAGCAACATTACAGTTATGAAGTAGCAATGAAAATAATTTTATGGTTGGGTCACAACGAGGAACTGTATTTAAAGGGCCAGAAGGTTGAGAACCACTGCAGGAGAAAAAGAGACTTCAGTGTAACACTGGGCTCGGTTCCAAAGACAACATAGGAAAGTGGGGATTTACAGCCCAGGAGCAGGTTGAGGGACTTGGTGAATGGAAAATTACTGAGAGGAAATATGGGGGGGGGGGGGGGGGGGCGTGTTCTGGCCAAACCCACTTGATAGGATTCTTGCTGAGTCAGGCCCAACTGAGCAGACATCACTATGGGGGTGGAGAGGATGGGGGGGGGGGGGGAGATTCAATTAGATATCAAGGGTGGGGCATTCTTGCTAAAATGACTCAACTAGATTCTTGTTCAAATGGGATGATACAAAGACAGGCAGACGTCCCAAGGTAGAGGCCTCCTGACTAAAGTTGGTCAAGGGGACCTTGGTCAGAGGTCAGCACATCGCAATGGGGAGCCCCGAGTCTAAGCACCGCTATCAATACAGAGACAGGAAATAAGCAGAGACCCGACATTAACAGAAAAGAGAACTGCCTTTAATTCTGTGCTCACCAACAGCCACGCATCTACCATTCTGTCTGGTGGTTTAAGAAAATGCCTTGAGAAAATCACAGATCCTAGGTAATCTGTGGCCATTTGAGTTAATAGATTTGAATTAATGATCAAGCACAATTTTCTCTTTTCAAAAATGTATTTTTTATTTATTTCAGAGAGGGAGAGGGACAGAAACATCAATGATGAGAGTATCCTGACCTGGCTGCCCACTGCAGGCCCCACACTGGGGATCCAGCCCGCAACCCAGGCATATGCCCTGACCAGGAATCAAACTAACCTCAGGTCAGTGCTCAGCCACTGAGCCACGCTGGCCAGGTTTGGTTGAAAGTCTATTTCAGGAATCTACTATGGAGGTGATAGTGTATGGTATTTTCATGTCAATATTTGATATTGGTTAATTTGGGTTTTTTTCTCAGTAAATTTCAGTGAATTGCAATGTTCAACATAACTAGGCAGTCTATTTTTATGAAAAAATTTTTATATACAAAATTAGGGAGGAAATCCTTATTTTTTTTTTAACCTAGTTTCAGTAACTACCAATGGAGAGCAGCAGTACCAGCCCTCTGTCACAGTAATTGCAAACCCTGTTGGGTCCTATGACATGAGACCCGTCAAGAGATGAAACCTCTACGGAGGGGTAGTCCTTAGTCTGTCCCTGAGAAGGTACGCCACCCCTCCTGGAGGCCAAGTGGTGTAAGGATGGGTCCAGTAAAGAACCCTGCTACATGCACAACTGAGACTGTCCATCTGGATACTGACGAACTATATAGTTC